AGACCAAGTATTCCGTCGCCTCGACACCTTGGTGGCCAAAGGGCGAGGAAGCGAAAATTAGGGGCGCCATGATGATGGACAACATCCTCAATGTCGCCGAGGGGATGACCACCAGGATGTTCGTTGAGGTGTACGGCTGGTCGCGAGAACAGGTCGATGCCTACCTCGTGGATACCACCAAGGCCTTTCAGGACCCGAGCTTCCACGCTTTTACCAACGGGTGAGTGGGCTTGTGATTATACCGACAGGCGGTCTCGTTCCTTTTGTCACTACTTGGTTCGTGTGCTAATTCACGTTTTGCAAACCGTCTAGGGTCTGTGTTTGGGGACAGAAGCCTCCTGCCTAGAGGTTGAGAGACACAAAACGTCAAGATTTGCCAGGTTTAAAGGACGATAGGAAGGACAAATGCCCAAGGGAAAGTCACGAAGAGCACATATGGAGCACATATGGACTTGCAATGCTAGACAGAGATAGAATCGGCGGTCCATAGAGTACACGGCTGCGTGCTGAGCAAGGTAATTTACAGTCTTCCGGGCAAAGGTGTACGACAGCGTCGCTTCCAAGACCTGCTTGATGTCTCGATGATGACAGGTACCTAGTGACAAATATGACTGCAGCAAGCAATCCGTGAAGAATGTGTAAGGTCTTTATCACTCGCCCAACGGCCATATGGGTTTGCTTCATATACCTCACGTAACGAGTCAGGGTTGATTGCCTCCGGAATGGTCCGAACCAACGCCTGTTTCTTGAAACACGGAGAATAAAGAAGTAGTGTTTCTACTTCGAATCCGGTGGAGTGGATCAGCCCCCCTTTTGGGATTGATAACTGAGTCATCGAGAACTTTGTTGACAGTCCGTGCAATCAAGTGAACCATCACCAGTACTTCTTGAAATTAATTATAACGGGATGGCCCAGGGATGCTTAGGACCTGGTACGGTGAAACCCTCTCATTCTAGTCAAAGGACAAAGGGGGAATGAGGTGACTCGGGTAGACTTTGCGCATAAATGGTGTGGGATAGACATGAATTATTTGAGTATAAAAAGATGTCTTCCGTTTTGTTTTCTCCCTCGATGACTTTCTTTTCTTTTCACCGCAATATACTCTTGAATAATCGCCACCTCTGCTCCCGCACACACGCCGAACACCAAAACAGATACTACAACATACCCAGATCCAAAGTCATTGTTGAACCAGGCAACTAGTGGCATCGAACACACTCGCAACGAATATGACTGTTATCGAAACTCCCGGAGAGGATCCGGAAGATTGTCGAGGAAGTCGGTGGCACAGTGGAGAAAATTCCTGAAAGTAAAGGTGGTGGTATTGGGCTGAACCTGAGTGATTACCACAAGAAGGGAGACTGGACCACCAACAAAATCAACTTGGAAAGTGCGCTGAGTCACAAGTACGGCTACGGCTTTCAGCTCTATGGATCCAAGGTAAGTAAAAGAAATGACCACCGGCACTGTCAAGGAAGTATTATTGTGACTGTCTGTCGTTGTTGGCTATGTTCTAATTGGAATCTTTTTTTAACGATATAGACGGACACTGAGCTGAGAGTTGAGATTGGGAGGCGTCAGTAGGCGCGCCACTGGTCATGATGCGGAAGCGCTATTGATGGAGGAAATAAGTCTTGTATTCGCCATTGCCTGTCCTTTTCCTTTTTTTCTCCTTCTGTCTTCTTTCCTCTTGTACTCGCCCCCTTTTTTCCTTCCTTTCTTTTGTCCTCCCTCGGCTTCTTTCTCTTTTTTTTTTTGCTTCGTTTTCCTTTCCTTTTCTATTAGCTTGCCCTAACCAGCAGAAGAAGTTGAGGTAGACCTTACTGGCGCGGGTCCCTGAATGCCTCTTCATTCTTCCTTGAATCGATTCATTACCCGGGTGTAGAGGCGTTCGTAATTGTGAAACTTATGTCTTCCTGGCAATGACGTGGCTGGTGACATGATCGTGTAAGCAAGAATCATGATATAGGTCTGCCTACCGAGTAGTTTGCCCTGGCCTGATCTGCGATAGCACTGATGTTGAAGTACGTCCACTTGCCAAGAAAACTAGGAAGTGCCAAAGTATTAATGCTAATATTTCTCTTTGCTTTTCCTAGGTATTCCTGTCTAGCACTACCATCCCTACCGATTCTCCCTTCAAGAAAGCACAGCCAAGAAATCATGAAAGTCATTCACCGTCCCGAGTCCCGTAACGCAATCATACCCCTTCACAGCCGGCCACCCAGCCGAATGCGTCCCGTCAGGGAAATTACACCCCTGGCTCGCGCCCGTCACGACGTCCCTCAGCACAGCCCGAACCTCGGCCGAGTAGAGCAACGGATTCAACCAACCGAGGCTGCTCTTGCCCGCGCGCATCCGCTTGTCGTTGACCAGCGCGACCATGGCCGCCACGACGGGCGTGCTGGCGCTCGTCCCGAGGACCTCGATCATGGTCCCGCCGAACTGGATCTGGAACCCCGATCCGATGGCACTGATATCCGGCATCGCGCGGCCGGAATGGTTAAACAGCCCCAACCTCTCAGCATCCTGCGTCCCGGCCAAATTCGCCAGGAAAGGCGACACGACCTCGTCCTGCCACGCCGGGCGTGGGAAATAGTTGCTGAATCCGCCCGACGAGAAATCTGCCGCGGTTAAAGGCGGGCCGACGTTTTCGGTCGCGCCGACGGTGGTCACGTACGGACAGCTGGCCGGAAATGTCGGAACAAGGGCCTTGCGGTTGGTCCCGTCGTTGGTGATACACTGGGTCTGTCCCGTGCCGGCGGCGCCGCCGTCGCCCGTCGCCGCGAGGACCGACACGCCCCGCGCGGTCAGCGCGGCTATCATATCGCAAACGCGCTTCGCGTAGGGCAACGGCACGCCGTTTTCGTCATCGGCGTAGCTTATGCTCAGCACGTGCGGCAGCTCGTTATCAGGCTTGTCCAGCAGGTCCTGGAAAAATTCGAGGTACGGCTCGTTGTCGCTGTCGGCCTCGGGCAGGGCGGTGCCGTTTCTGTCCAGCTTCGTGCCGCGGCCGCCGGTCAGGTAGTAGGTCACGTTGGTCGGGTGACCCAGCGCCATGGCATACTCGACGTCCAGCGAAGCCTCGATTCCGGCGTACGAGATGTCGTCCTGCGGGTTCGTGGCGCCCCGGAGGAGCTCGACGGTGAAGTCATATGACGACTCGGCGATCTCGGGGCTGTATGAGGCGAGAAAGTTGTCGACGTCCTCGTACATGATCCACTGCTCGAGGAAGCCGCCTATTCCGAAACGGACGGGCGATGGCGTGGAGGACGCTGGGGTGTAAGTTAGGTTGTAGAGCTTGCGGATGCACTCCGGGAACGTGCCTGTCAGGCAGGGCATGTCGATCTCGCGGACTTCTTCCTCGTCCGCCTTGTCAGGGGGCGTCGATAGATCCTGTTGGGCGTGGTTTGGTTTGACGCGTTTTCGCCTAAGCATATCGTTCTTGCGGCGCTTGTTGTCGCGCGGAGGCATAAAGTTCGTGAGCGGGTGGACAAAATCAATGTCGTGGCGTAGCCAGGTTGGGACTCTATACGAGAGCGCGCGTAGGACCGGTTTTGCGTCCTCACCCGCCACGCCAATATAAGAGTAATATGCCAGGCTTTCGGCCTGGAAAAGGGATTTGGCCGCCCGCACGGAGACGTCGAAGGTAATCCAACTACCCGAGATCCTGGGGTTGCGGATGCCGTTGGACTTGAGCCAACCCGCCACAGCATTGGTGACTGCACGTTGGGGCTGGCGGAACTGGTTGACTTGCGCGCGGCTCAGGTTGGGCTCAAAGTCTGCCACGCTGCGTGGGGCGTGGTTGGGATGGGCGTGCCATCGCCAGGCGAGCTTGTCTTTGAGCTCGACCATCTTCGATTCCCGGATCGCGATAGACAAGGTCATCCGGTCAGACGCGCTGGCGTTGCTGTGGAAGCGCCATCCTGTGGGTGGGCGGTGGCCATTCGTCTGTTCTAGAATGACGGTCGGGGCTGCCGAGGCGAGAAGGGATAGGCCTAAGAGGAGCCACAGTAGGGACGCTGCTACTGGGTTTAAAGGAATTCCCATTGTTACTGGCTTGAGCAGATAATGGAGCCAACTAAGAGGGCATAAAAAGAAAGGAAATAAGAATGGAGAAAGTGAATTGGTACGTAACGACGACTGCCAGTCACATCGCTCGGAAAGGGATTTTCAATGATGACGTCCAACCGCACCAACGAACCGGAATGTAATAGGTGAATGGGAAATATTGGAAGGAGGAAGGAATAAGTTAAAATAAGAAAGAACTATCTACTACTAGTGGTACTGAATAGCAAGCAGTAAGGTAACATTCCCTGCCAGGCACGGAACGTCGCTCGATCTTGCCAAGGTTGCCAATGCATGCACTATACAGTGCTTCTGGTACAAGCCGGAAGGACGACCGAACTCGGAATTGATGTCGCATGTGGCCGGCTGCCAACTTGTCTTGTTGCCGTGGCTAGGATAGCTGCTACTCTGCACTGTAGTCTGGTAGCTAAGGTTACCGACCCAAATGTAATTATCATCTTCGCACTAGCTAATCATGTTTTGCCGAGGTTCACTCCATCCAGTACCGACAACTTCCCGCTCAATGTTCCACAGGGTCAGTTTTCGCAGAATCCTGTTCTTTGGGGAGAAAGAAAAAGGAAATCACGGCAGATCCAAAAAGAGGTAAGAGGGGGTAATTAATATCCTCCCTTCTCTGCCCAGGCTGAGCGTCGGGAACCATCTCCCCGCATTATCTCCATTTAAAAAAAAAAACTCGGAATGGGGAGAAGGAGAAAGGCCAGATGACATGTACGGATTTGCCCTTTTCAGCCGCGAAACGTTATATATGCCAGCCCTGGTATACGACAGGACCAATATAGCCTGGGCATTGGACCCGCTCGGCGCTAAGAATCATCCATGACTCGAAGTTTGAAGTAAAACGAGTAAAGTGACACCGCGATTCTCCACAATAAAGCCCACAGGGATGGAGTTATTTAAAAAACACAAAAACAAAGCCCGCATGGCTCAGTGGTAGAGCGCATCACTAGTAAGTATTCATGTTGTATTACATCTACAAAGATGTAAACATTTGTACAATGATGAGGTCGTCAGTTCGATTCTGGCTGTGGGCATCTAGTATTTATTCATTTCTTTTGTCTCTGGTGTCTTGCAAGTCTGGATGCCGTTTCTTCTTCTTTTCTTTCCTGGCTGGCTGTTTTTTATATCAGACGCAATTAGTTCGCTCAAAACTACGGTCAAGTTACTTACCTATGCATAGTTTGCATTCTGTTGACGAACAGCTCATCAAGCTCACGCAACTTCTATCAGCTCTTCTTGCCTTTCCTTGCGACAACAGACTGCCTTCTCTTCTAACCCTCTTTCCCAATCAACAACCACTTTACTCTTTACTTGCAACAAGCCTCTTTTACTCAATACTATTTACTCAATACTACAATCAAAATGGCGGGTGCCCGAAAGACAGCTCACCACCGCCCAAAGGCAAGCAAGGGCGACTCAGGACGGCAACGGGCAGTCTCACGCATGGAAACCAGGTTGATCTATCTAGTCATCAACCAAAAGACAGTAAAAGCTTTGAGTCATTTGATCTACGCCAAGGTAGACTCCGATGCCACGAATGAAAAGAATGCATTTCATTGACCCAGCCAGGTCTTCCGAACCTACCTCAATCAAGTAAATGCACCTGGCGCCGCAAAGCAACCAGACGCGAAGTCAGAAACCAAAAAAAAAAAAAAAAAAAAACCCAAAGAGCATCTCTCTCCCTGACTCCCTCAAGGCCGATAGTCAATGACCACTTTCACATACTGATTGTGCTGGCCGCCCTGCACAAGTGCAAACAGCTTGATTAGCACAGATTCCGCAACAACAGACAACATCCTCATCAAGAGTATCGTTATTGGTGGGATACCTACGTGCTGGCTCATGGCCCACTTGTCGTGGTACTTTTCTCGCAGGACCGCCATCAGGCCGTCCATGTCGACGTGGCGCCAGGGCAGCCGCAGCACGATGCCGGCGGCGGCGGTGACCCGCTTGGTGCCGCCGCACGCGCGGACGATCTCGTCGAGCGCTCCGGGAAGTTCGCAGCGCATTTCTGTTGTGCTTGGGTTCTTTTTGCCGCCATCACTTGGTTGAGCACTCGAGTCTTTGCGGTGTGAGGGGATGCACGCAAAGGGGGGCATGCTTACGGTCATTGCACTGATATGTGACATTGTGTGTGTGCGTATGTGTTTGTGTGTTCGAGAGTAGATGTCGTGAGTATGTGTGCTTGTGTCGGTCGTGGAAAGTTTGGAGAAAGTTTATCGACAAGAGTGGGAAAAGACATCTTTTATACTTGACAGAATCCGGGTTGCTTCACTCGATTGCTGAGGTCTATTCACAGTCACTGGACAATAGGAACGTTGAACCAGTGCGTTGGCCAATTGCGTAACGCTTGGACTGTGAGTTGGTCTATTGTGCAAAGACCATTCATTCCATTCACCTGTCATTTCGTTTGAACAACGCGGCAAGGAACCAGATTCACAATAGGGATACACGTAGCCCCAACAGGTACTCATTGAGGACCGGAATAGAAGCATCTGGCGGCGTGCCTTGTAAAAGTTCTGGAAATGTTTGGTACTGCACAGTGTATCTTCTTTCAAGCAAGAGGAAGTTACCTGGTAATCATCGTATACAAGGGTCCGACCCATTATGCGACTGTATTGCCCTTTGCAACGTTGATTTGATGGGCAAAGACTTTGCTAGTCACAGTACCACGCGGGATGTCATCAAGCCCATCGACTCATTGGCCATACATGAATTAACACAAAGTGCTAGAATACTTAGAGATAGGTATACAAGAATAGATAACGAACCACTATAAACTCATGCAGACAGACTGACGCAACCCGTCGCGCTGTCCTCTTGGAAAATGCCCCCAAAGACGATGCCTTCGTCAATCCCAGCCTCCTGGAAGCCACTCTTTGTAATGTCCGCTCCGCCATCCGTCGGCTTCTTGAGGACTCCAAAATGGAACTGACCCTGTCCACTAACATCGTTGGCAACGGCCTGTGTCACGGCCTTGAGCGGCGCCACCCCGGTCGAGAAGAACACCTGCGTGGTTCTTATTTTGCATATTCGATGTCAGCAATCAGACTTTCGTCCACAGCGTGTTTCGCCATTGGATGGGAGACAAATACAGTGCATTAAAGTCGAGCGTGACAGCAAAGTTGTTGAACACGCCAGGCGTAAACGGCGTGCTGAATAGCAGTTGGCCGTCGTTCACGTTGCCAAACAGCTGTAGGGTGTCCGGATTCGCCGTCGCCTGGCCGAGGATCGTACCCGTCTTTAGGACAAACTGGTTCGTGCTGAAGTCGTTGCTTTCCAGAAACACCAGCTGATACTCGTGCGACAGGTTTAGCGCGCGTTGGGCGTCCTTCATGACGCTGAAGTGGAGGGTCTTGACTCCCGTCGTGCTCGGGTCAGTGCCGCTGTTGCTGGCGGGGAGCAGCTCGGCGCGCCGAAAGCCGGTCTGGCCGTTGAAGATTGAGTCGTCGCTGATGGTGACTTCGACGGGGACGGTATCGGCGTCAAACTAGAATGGAGATATTAGCACGGTCGATGGCTATGAGTCGGAAGTGCGTCGGAGATTCGTACCAAAGAGCCGGTGATGGCGGGTAGTTGGATTAGTTGGCTGAAGGAGAGCCCTGTTATTCACGGTCAGTGTTGGTTTCTTTCCGTCACTTTAAGGCCATGGTCATAACTTGCCTACGCCAAAAACATTGGTCGGACTGAAGACGTCGTTCGCGCTGTCGAAGCCAGCGGCGCCGAGGTTGGCCGGAACACGGCCGTCAAATTGCAGAGTACATGCTTGGGCGGCAACCAAGGGTGCTATGAAAGAAAGAACGGCGAGTGACTGTGAAGAAATCATACTGTAAGAGACTTCGTTTCAACGGCTAACAAAGGAAGGACGAGAAGGAAAAACAAGGAAGACAAGTTCGATTCGATCAACGATTATCTTCCCAGGTCCAAGGCAACGGCTGGTAAGAGCAGACCGCTTGGCTTTTGTACGAGAAGAAGAGACGGGACATGGTCGTCTTGGGCCAGTTCATGCGCCATCCTGGTGTCTGGCCTGTGAGCTCGAACGGATGGCAAGGAGGTCGCTACCGACCTGTTAGCCGCACAGGGAGGCTAAACAACAAAGTGGAATAGTTTCAGATGACAAGACTCAAGACGTCGGCATCGGACGCACAGGATCTCAGGCGGTGCGTGTGTGCTGCAAAAGGAGTTGAAGGTATCTGGTCCCGAGCCGATTGTGGGGCAAGGTTCGAAGATCAAACGACAGCAAACACGTCTCACGATCGAACCTCGGCAATCTTCGATTCTTGAATTCTGGCCAATCAGGATGTGTGGTGGCGTCTGGGGAAGCGGGGCGAGAGGCCCGCTTGTTGACCCGATTGGGTTTGGTCAAACTGTTCAGTTCGTTCAGACCACTTTTGAATGATCAAACTTTTCAGTTCGTTCAGACCACTTTTGAATGACACTAGCCACTGTTTTCCCGGGTACCTGTCTAGGGAGGTACGTATCCTTTAAGGGAAACATATCGCCCAAAAACAAAAAAACATACAGCACCAGGGATTCGCTGGTCGTCACCGACCCAACTACTAGTCTGGCGATTAGTGGCTTATCTATGGGAGAGCGGACGGGATCCCGAGCTTTCCACTATCTATGGCCGTACGTGCTTGTGGTGGATCAGTGTCAGGTCTATCTCAGTCCTCTCAAGTTCACACCCTCGTCGAGCTTATTAGCCACCTCCGCCAACGGCCCCGAATCAATATGACTCGCAATCCTCTCCCTCGTCATAGCCGTCCGCTTCAACGTCTTGTCCCTCGCAATATACTCGTCCTCCTCCGCCAACAAATCCACCATATCTGCCGGCAATCCCCCGCTCCACCTAGTCAACCCCCAAATCCTCTCAAGCAGCTGCACAGACATCCCCCGGTTGGTGATACTCGCCACCCTGTCCCAGACCTTGGTCGGTTCCGTGGCAAACGTCTCTTGGACCTTACCCAGCGCCTTCAGAAACCTGACAATCTCTTTTCTCGTGACCGGGTCGTCCAACTTCGCTTGCGTGGTATACATGACCGACAACTCTCTGTACAGGGAATCGTTCCTAAACATCACCGCATTCTTTTCCCCGATCGTCATGGCGGCGAGTTCGGTAGTCGGCTCGTACGCGGTCAGTGCATCGATTTGACCCAAAGCCAACATTTTGGGCAGGGTGCCGTTTCCGCACGGTAAGGAGTAACAGAGACCCTGGCCGCCGCTGGCGCCGACGAGAGTGTACTCGTCGTCTTTGAGGCCTGCGACGTCGCGGAGGTAGCGGTACGCAAAATACTCCGATGTGGTGTTGGCGACGACGCCGATCCTTTTGCCTTTGAGGTCGGCAGGACCGTGAATCGTGCCCGAGGCGTTGTTGGCCACGATGCGGTAGTAGACTTCGGCCACCGTGGTGACGATGCGCAGGTCCGCGTGGCCCGGCGCGTCGTGGAGCACGTGTACCTCGGCGCCGGCATCGAGGTCGACGTTGCGGTTCTGCCAGAGGTCGGGCAGGTCGCTGATGAAGGTTCCGTTGCTGGCGGTGTAGTAATCCTGCATGGCGACGACGAGGGGCGTGGCTTCGAGGAGGAATCCGCGGGCGGCTACGGTGATCATTGCTGTGGTTGTTGTCGGGGATATTACTGATAGGAACAGGAACAAGGGGAGAAAGCGGGTATGGGATGATCGTGCCATGGTTACTACTTCCTCAACGGGTTGTTGGTTGGGTACTTGAAGAATGAAGTCTAACAAAGCAGAAAGAGTACCTGGTAGCTACCCAGGTTTGAACTCGGGGTCTCTTCAAGTTTTACGCCATTCAATTTCTCTTCGTCTGTCTCATATCAACGCGTACGTATGTGAGCATCTCGGCACTTGCTCTGTTCTGTAGCAGCAATTACCCAAGGTTACAGCACTATCTCCAATATTGAGTCTTGGTACTATAAAGCGGCCGCACTCAGATCTGGGGCAGATGAAGATGGTTACATCAGTAGATTGCAGGCTAATTCCGCTCCTGCAAGGCCCGGCAGCAAGGGTCTCGCCC